CTCTCCTAGCCTCAGCTCAGACAGGCCAACCCAGCCACCTGGTAACTGAGGTCTGGCAGGCATGGGGACAGAGTGGCTGAGCTAAGAAGAGGCCCCAGGCACAGGGCCAGAAGGCCCTTCTGCTAGCTGTCAGAAGGGCATGGTGAGTTTTTCCAACAAATCCACAGCCCCCAGTCCCAGGGCAATCAGGCAGCAGCCAGTGCAGGCAGGGGCTGTGGCCCTGAGAGTCAGTGCCCGAGAGGACTAACAGAAGGCTGCTACTCCCAGAAGCACCCGCACTGGCGCTTCGAGCACTCACTCGTCACCGCTCACTGCACCCATGCTAGGTGCTTTCTGGACCCAGGATAGATGCACGGGCTGCCTGGGGACTGGAGGGCCAGTCCCCGTCCTGATGCTCACTCAATTTGCCACCCCCAAGATGTTTACCCAAATACCTCCATGGGGCATTTCATCCAAGACAAAAACCTCATTTTCTCTGATTTTCACCCTGCGAGGCAGGCAGGTCACAGAGGTAACTCGCATGTGGCCTCTGTCTTGGCATTGAAGATGCCAGGCAAACACAAGCCAAGACCCAGAGGCACAAGAACCTGGGCATTCTGCCCAGGTGTGCTGGCACCGGGAGTGGCCGGGCCAGGGAGCAGGCGCGCACACCAGCACTGGCACCTGACCATGGCCCCACAGCAGAGGCTGCGGTGGCAGGACCACTCTCTCCAGTCATCAGCTGCACAGAAAGCGGGGCCAATCCTTCCAGCCTGGAATCCTGGTACCCTGACTGCCTCTCAGACTAGCAGCCAACATATGCTGATTTAGCTTTAGCTCAGAGAGGCCGGGCAACTTGCCCACGGTCAGCCAGCTGGTAGCAGAGGCAGTCAGGCCTGGAGTCCCAAGCCTTTCCTGGGGGTTTGGGCACTGATCTTGAGGAGTGGGCTTGAGGGTCAGTGGGATGGGAAGGGGGACAGGGACAAGGGCAAGTGGATGCTGAGGCACCGTCAACAGGGCTGTGGGCAGGGCAAGAGTGTGGTGACAGGAGCCAACAGGGAGGTGCCTGCTGGTGTAGGCAATGGCTCAGGCACTGTGTCCCCCACTTAGTCTGCACCACCATCCCCAGAACGTGTACACTGTCAGCTGCATCTTACAGACAGAAACGCCAGGCCCAGAGAAAACTCTGCTGAAGTCACACCCCTGCCAACTCCAGCATCAGAAGGGAGGCTGAGCCAAGATGAAATCAGAGCCACCCCCTCGACCCCACTCCCTGCTCCCCAGCAATGTCACCACTGGTGCCAAGCCAGCCTATGCTTTTAACCAGGGCCTCAGCACTTCTGACAGATGCACATCTACCTGTCAAACCAGTTTCAGGACTGAATGTGCAGTGCAGGTTTCAATGAGAACAGACAGTATGGCCTTTCTACCCCTGGAGATCTGCACTTGAAAAAGATGGCGGCCATTGCCCCCCCCCCCCAACTCAGGGAGCCTGAGAAGATTGCATCATAGGAGGGTGGGAAACCCAGGCACACCCCAGGACTGCTGATCAGGGAGCGGGAAGAAGCTCATGGCAGCTTGGGAGGGCGGAGGACAAGTCTCGGGGCATCATGTGCCCTGATCACAAGTTCCTCTCACACACCTCTCGCTGCACAGCTGCAGAGCTGTGCAGGAGGCCTGCAGAGCCTCGGGTTATTCCTGCAGCGTGGTCTGGAACGGCTCCCGGCATGGTACCGGCCGTGGTCCTTAAAAGAGCTGGGGCCACGGCTTCTGCCTCTCGTGGCGGCGTACAGCTGGCCAGCACCCCTCCCCTGGCACCCACGTGCCAGCCTGGCAGCCCTGAAGCAGCCTCTTCCACTCACGACTTCCACCCGCCTCCTCACTGAGCTTCACTTCCCTCCCCACACACCTGGCTCTGGCTCTGCCCCCTCAGCCACCCCTCCTCTCAGCCTGGGTGGTCTGCAGGGCAAAGATACCAGCCCTCTTTTACAGAGGGCAACAAACGATGCCCAGCAAGAAGCCACAGAGTCCATGTGATCAGAGCTGGCCCACAGGCCTCCCCTCCCAGGCAGCTCGGCCCCCTCTGTCACATCCTGCTAGATGGCTCCTGGATGTGGGAAGAGAGGGGACAGAGGGGACGGGGATGGATTCTGATCGTCTCTCTCATTCCCAAAGAGGAGGCATGTAGAAGACCAGATAACAGATGTGCCAGCTCCTGTCATCTCTTAGCCTGGGCTGAGGTTCCACCACCCAGGAGGGTCCAGGCAGACTCCTTCATCAGTCCTTCTGCTGGGCCCTCAGCCCCAGTTCTCCGCGTGCTCCTGGGGTCGTGGACCAACCGACTTTCCGCTCCTGCTCCAGATGACTGCTCCCTGCAGACCTAGGCCCCCCACAGCCCCTGCAGCTCACAGCTGGGCCAGGACCAACCTCCTATACCTTTTCTCTGCTGGTGAGTCCTCAACCTCCAGCAGCCCCAAGGCCAGTCAACAACCCCACCATCCTCCTTCCACAAAAGCTGTCACCTGCTCCTTGGTGTTGACAGGCCCCCTTGGTTTTCTGCCCTGAAAATCCCACTGCCTAAAATCACCAATTGCAAGACTCCTACCCCAGGATAAAGATTGCCCCCCCCCAAAAAAAAAAAGATTGCCCTACTCCCTCACTGCCAGGTCAACTCCTCAAACCCTGTCCCCAAGCAGCAGGGGCCCACTCTTCTGCCTGGTTCACACCATCACCCCCACCTGTGGTACCCCACTCCTGAGGGTGAGCCCAGTCCTCCCTGCCCCTCTCTTAGGCTCCAAGGAAACTCCCCAACCCAGAAGGAGCCCCCACCTAATCTGTCTCCCAGAGCAAGCCAACCAGCCCCCCTTCAGGCCCCCCTCTGAGACAGACCCTGGGGATGACATCTTCCTTCCCTCCAACTCTTTCCATGCTTCTCCAGGACCACCCATGAGAAACAACAGCAAAGCGCCAATCTCAGGAAGACACCTGCTCCTTATGAGGCAAGACACAACAAGGACTGTCCTGTTTAATTCCCACAACTAAGAAATAAGCACCTCTGTTTGAACAAAAACAAAATGGGAGGTGGCGGGGAGATATACCTCAGTGGCATAACTGCCTGCCTGGCAAGTACAAGGTCCTGAGTTTGATCCCCAGTACCAAAATAAACAAACAAACAAACAAACAAACAAACCAGTGCTCAGAAATGAAGAACTTCGACAAAGTCTGATCTCTTCTGTGAACCTGCAGACCAGAAACTTTACCCACCACCTGTGACAGACCCTCCAACCATGCTCGCCACTGATCCTCCAGCCCACAAACTGGGGGCCACCACGGCCACCACCACCACCACTGCCACCTGCCACCACCCATCTCTGCTGGCCCCTAAAACAACCAACCTAGCTTAGAAATGACCCTGGTTTCATGAAGGCTCAGCCTAGCCAGATGTTTTACATACACAATTTTACTTAGTCTTCTTATAAGCCCTGTACTATGGGTACTGCCACTCACTTTACAGATAGAAAACTGAGTCTCAAGGCACTTAGATAACCACCCTGATGTTACAAAGTAGGTACAAAAAGGGTCAGGACTTGACCTATAGCCTCTACTTTTAACCACCCAGGTCCACCTCTACCTCACCAGGCCTTTAATCTTCTACCACTTAACTCCTCGGAATGGATACCAGATTACAGCCGGAGCCCATTCTGGCTCTTCCATTCCCAGACCTAACACCGGCCAACCCCAAACTGACCACCTAGCCCTGAGGTCTGGAGTCCAAGTCTCAATGCCAGGAGTCTTAAATTAACCACTCTCTCTTGGACAACAACGAGCCAAACCGGCGTTTGTGGTGGGCTCCAGCGTGTTCAGTATCCGGAAACCACATTTTCCACCCTCACATCAAAGCAAGCAATTCCTCCAATGCCCACTGATTGGCAACAGTACCTCCCTGTGCCTGGGCCCAGCAAATCACCTTCTGTAGGACCATGGCCGGCTGGTGCCCTCTCTTCACAGGCTCTGCTCCAGTCAAACTGGCAGGCTCTCCCACAGAGGGAGGCTCAAAGCGGCTGTCCATCCCCTAGCACCTTTCCACGTCCCGACTCTGTGGCCCCCATACACCCTTCTTCCGGTTGACCCTTCCCCTCCAACACTAGCCCAATCCCCTTAGGGAGACTAGAACCCATGTACCACGGACCCATCTCCCAACGCAGGACCCCCACTTCAATGCTCTTCTTTTCTACGAACCAAAAACCGATCCCTGACCTCAAAACATTCCCTAATTTGTTCCCAGGAAAGAAAAAGGGGATTCTTCTATAGCCAGGCCCCAAAGTTCCTGTGCTCCTGAATCATGGACAATCCTCTGCTCCCCTTGAGGGGAGGGGCATGCAGTGAACTTTTTCATTCCAAGACCTAACACTACCCGAGATTAGCTCCCCCAACAGCTGAACGACCAGGCTCTGCACCTTTTCTGGGAACAGCTGACTCCCTCTTCCAACCCCAGGATTTAACAATTCCTCTACAGCCACTGCCCAGGTTTATTCTTCCTCCTTTCAGCCAAGAAAGTGATCTGCATGACCACCCCTCGTTCCAAAGCTTACAGACCACGACTTAACCTCGTGACATTTCTACAGGCCTATTAAATTCGTCCAACGATCCTTTCTGGGCCAGTGTTGACCCACTCTTCCTCTTCAACTGCACTCTTTCCTTCCCCAGGAGAACTATATAAACTCAAAGGCTGCCAACCCTCCCAACCTTGCAAACCATAACAACTTTAGCTGTCTATTGTCTTAATTTCTAAAACGATCGTCCTCAGCGTGCCGGTGGGGGCACAGACACCCAATACTTTCCACCTTCCCAAACCTATAGCCACCCCTCTTTTAAAAGCCTCCAAATCTAAACGGACCGTTGTGTTCTTAAAGCAACATTATGCGTAATACACTGAACGCCACCTCAGTGTCGGGCCTGCCTTGACCCCTCCGGACTCCCTGATCCCTTTCGAGCCGCCCCCGCGCCCCCACAGTAGCTACCGTGTCTCCAGGGATCTTTGGGTTCCACCGCTCCGGACACGATATCTTCGTCCGACGGGAATGTAACGCGCTTGGCTGCAGCCTTAAGGCGCCCGTCAGCCGGGGGCGATGCCGGGCTGGGAGACTCGGCCTCAGCGGGGGCCACCTCGGCATCAGCGTCTGTTTCGGCTTCAGCTTCGGCTCCGGCTCCGGCTTCGGCTTCGGCTTCGGCTTCGGCTTCAGCGCCCGGCTCGGGCGGCGCCTCCTGTGGCGGGATCTCCATCGCCACCGCCGCCTCCTCACGGGGGCCCCGGGGACATGCCCCGGGCCCCGGACTCGTCTCTCCGGGCCCGCCCGCCGTCCCGGGGCATGGGATCCGCCGCTGCTTCAGGCGCCGCCTCCGTCCCCTCTCCTTGTCGTCGTCGCCGGGAGCCCAAGCGCGCCTCCGCCGAGCCCCGCGCGTGCCAGCTCTTTCCTAGACGCACTTTCGCTAAAGGCTAAGGAGTCTGCGGCGTATTAAGGCAGGCGTAAAGTGTACGTAAGCTATTTTCAGGTAGGGTTACCCAGTGTGAAACGTGAAAAAGGAAACAAAGAACAGAAGGAGGTACGGGAAAAAGGAACGTGAGCCGCGAATCTGCAGAGCCGGAACTGCAGAATATATAAGGGGTGGGGCGAGGTAGACGCCGTCTCCCAGAGCAGCGCGCACGCGCGAGCCTGATCCGTCCCCCCCTCAGCCCCGCCCCCTCCAGCCTTCTTCCCGCCCCGCCTCCTTCGAGGTCACTGTGTTCAGACCGCCGCACATTCGTCACAAATCCAAGTCGTGAGGAAGGGAATGGGGCTGAATAGAATGAAAATATATCTTGGGTTGTGCCACCTGGTAACGAGAGGTTAAATCAAGACGTTGAAGGGCAAGATCATAGGGGCTCCATTGAATATGTGATTACGCACAGGTGAGGTGTGCTGACCGAGGGATACTGTCTGAACTCTGAATCCGCTGCCCTCTTGCTAATTCTAGCCTTCAACATAAGGACTACAGTTTCATCAGTAGTTCTGTGTATGTTAGCAGCGCTGCGTAAAATTTAAATCATTAAAATAAACAAATATACTATACCTGATCCAAGAAAACCGGGAGAATTCCCAAAGGGGAGAGATGAAACTGCCGATCCAAACACCCGGCAATGAGGGTAGATAAGCAGGCGCGAACCTGCGCGAGCGCAAGCCACGCCCCCAAGGCGCAATTCAATTGCTCAGGATTCGCCTCCGCACTTTCGCTATGCTTTCCCAACCCACAGAGCATCCAATGCTGCTATCGAAACCTTAAAAAGGGCTCCGGGCCGAGCAAGCCCCATCGTTGCCAAGAAAACTGCAGAGTTTGGCCGGAGACTCGCCAGAAGTGGCATAGTGTATGTACAGGTGGGGCATCTGAGACTATTTAAGTATCCCATTTAACATCACCTGCAACCACATTTTCAAGCCCAACAGAACGTCCTCTATTGTTACTGGAAGGCTTCCCTTAAATATTAAGCTTCAAGGGACTAAAAAGGGAACAAGAGGCCAGAATGTGGTGATACCTGGAGCTTGAGGTAGGAGGATCATCACGCGTTGAGGCCAACCTTAACTACAGAGACCCTGTCTCCAAAAAGGAGACACGAACAAATTTTTCTATCATCTGTGGATGATAGTAGTGACAGGAGGTTAAATGATGCATATATGGACTGCCACACTACGAAGCCAGAGGGGAATGGAGATAGGGCGAAACTTCACACTCACTACAATCCTGTTTTTTCTGGTTGGTGTTGTATCATTCTCTGCACGTGTGAGAAGACAAATCAGCTGCCTGCTGAATGTGGTTCACACCTTCGGACAGCGGGACAACAGAACACCTGTGTGTGACCATGTGACCCAGTTTGAGCCACACTCCTCCCTTGCCTTGAACAGCTTCACCCTGTACCCACCCAAACTAGCACTGAATCTAGATCCCCTCTGGTTGAGGAATTGAGGGGGCCCCAGCCACTGAGAGACCAGCAGGGTGCAATCCCTGCACATGCACCCACGTTCACCACCTCCATCCAGCCCCACAGGATCCGGATCCCGAGAACCACCCTACTACCTCCCAAAGAAGACTCCATGGCCCAGACAGGCCAGACATTTGAAAAGAAAATGAAGAGTCGTGTTGCCTGGGATGATTGGTTCTTTAGCAGGAGGGAGGGGAGCAATGGAGAATTTTGCAACCTCTTGAATATATTGCTCCCCACTGTATAGTTCGCCCTCCTTCATCCCTGCCCTCTGCCCTGTCTTCAAGAACTGGCACCTGGCCCATATTTGGGAGAGTTCGCAGCCGTAAGGTAGAACCATCCTTTCAGTGGCATCAGAATTCCTGGGGGTGCAGTTTTACTGAGTAGATCCTGGAAGTCCTCAGCAGCCACAGATGCTTGGAGCTTGGCTAGAATTCCAAGAGAGCCCAAAGCTCCTCAGGTCCAGAGTTCCTGGCCAGGTTCATTTGGAAGGAAGCCTGGGATAGTGCAGCAAAGCCCGTGGTGAAAGGTGGAACACAGTAATGTCTTCATGGCTTGAAGGTGTACGCAATAATGTCACTACAGCGAAGCAAAGCCTCCGCCTGCACACCTATGGGAGTCTGCAGTTGTGACACATAGAAGTTGGCCACATCAAGGTCGGTGGCTCCAAAGTGGGCAGTCACGTGCACACCCTCGTGCAGTGTGAAGCTCACCTGGTGACCCACCATGGCCAGCAGGCTGCGCAGGTAGCGCTCCCGAAGGGTGGCACGGGCATGCTGTTCCTGGGATTCCTGAGATTCTTGACCTACAAGACATTCTTGGCTTCCAGGAGCTTCTGGCTGCAGGCGGGCCCAGCGTCTATCAGGGGCAAAGCCCCGACTCAAGCCATCAGGGCCACGGGGGAGCCGTAGCACAGGCACTGGAGTGGCCAGAGGAGTCTGCATTGTGCCACCTATTCAGGGAAGAAGGAAAGGAGTCATTAAGTGGGGCTGTGGAGCTCGAGTAGGGAGCTTTCCAGAACCTCATTTAACCTGTCCAAAATGCTGATTCCCCTCCTAAAACCTTCTTCACCACTCCCCAAACTCCTCCTCCCCTGGAACCTACACAACTGATCTGCTGGGACCTGGACCAGAATCAAAGTGTCACACAGAAGCTCTACAGAGGCAGGGACTTTTGCCTATTTTTAATATGGCTTTATCCCAGTTCTAGGCAATAAGTATTTACTAAAAAATAAGCTTGGGGCCAGGGAGATAGCTCAGTGGAATAAGTGCTTGCCTAGCAACTGAAGGTCCTGAGTTTTAATCCCTGATACCACCAAAAATACAAATAAGTAAACTCACCCCCCACTCACACAGACTGTCTAACCCATCAGATCTTACGTTCCAAAAAGATTCCCACTCACATGGAACCAACTGGAAAAGGTGACTGCTGACCAAATCTACAATTGTTTGAACGTTTAAAATAAGAAAAACTAGGGCTGGAGAGATGGCTCAGTGGTCTAAAGCACCTACTTAGAACAAGCTTAGCAAAAGCATCAGGGACCGCGGTTCAATCCCCCAGCACCA